TCACAAACATTATGGTGGTTACCAGAGGGAAGAAGATTTGATTTTGGGTGGTTGGCATACAATGCAATATACAGATGATGTATCATAGAATCGCATGCTTATAGCTTATATGTTTATTAACCAATGTTACCCCAGCAAATTTAATTTAAAAAATTGTTTTCATATCTTTCCCATTGATATTTACCAGTTGGTGAGTTTGGCCTTAGTAGTCTGTTTCAATTCATTAAGAGAGGTAAATATTTCTGAAATAAACCTTTAAGAGCAGTCCAGAGTGCTGGGGATCTTGGAAGCTGGACTATACTTTGAGAAATCTCTCTTAGTTTGAATTTTAGGAACTGAACTGTCCAAGCTGCCCTACTTATGGCCACCAGAAGTCTGTCAGAGGCCAGGGACAGTCCAAGTTCTGCATTACGTTTTCCCCATTGTCATCCCGGGGACCACAAGCCTGACAGCGAGCTCTGTCATTAGCTGGCAGTTTTTCTCTGTGGCTTTTATCGGCTCTCTTCTGTGAAGATACAAAAGCTGTCAGCTTGGGAAGGAAGAGTTTCCACGTGACATGCTGGGTGGTTTTGTGGCACCAGGCTGGAAATGGAGCCACTTTTGTTTTGGTTTGTTTTTATGTCTCAAAATTTGTTTTCCCTATTATGTCTGACATTTCCTTGTTAAAGATTAGATTTTCTTCTCTTACAAACATTTAAAAAAATTTCAAATATATTTGATAGAGATGAAAATTTCAATAATTATCAAACACTGACTACTGTTTGCAGTCGGGACTGATGTGTAAATGAAAGAGCTGTTGATGGGTCTCTGGAGACAGGCCTGGTGCTGGCTTTATCATGAGTGTATCTTCTTACATAGGTTACAGCATCTTTCATGCTTGGTTTTCTCACGACCCTCAATATTGACATTCTCTCACATAAGGATAATCATAAAAATAGCTAACATTTATTCAGCACTTACTCTGCGTTAGGTGCCATGTCAAGCCCTTCAAGTGTATTTTCTAATTTAAACCTCCTCACAAGGATCTTAGGAGGTAGGCACCATTATTGTCCTTATTTTACATATAAGGAAAATGAGGCCTCAGAGATGATCTATTTCAGTAAAGACTGGCGGAGAGTCAATTAGTGTGTTAGTAACTTAAACCTGTTCTATGTGATGGTTGTATTCTTAAATATTCTGGTATTCAGTTATGCGATCCTTTTTAGTGTTGGATAAATGCTGTCCTGAGATTTAGCTGGAAACATAATAAAATTATACTTGGGAAAGATTTGTTGCAAACGGAAGTAGGCAAGATTTGAAATATTCATATACTTGCCCTCAAAATCCTCATTTTCTCTGTTATCAAGACTGGGCCATGAGCAATTCAATGGCAGGCAATGTAAATATCTCTAAGATCCTGTGACCCTATCAAATAGGTCAGAGGAATATTTTAATAGGATGTTAAATTGGGAGTTTCAAGGGAGGCATAAAATGCAATAAATAAGACCAAGATGCAAATTTTGAAAGGAAATACTTCCAAAATCAGGGCTACAATGCTTAAAAATCCTTCTCTCAGACCAAGGATATAAAACAATCGGGCTGTTAGGGAAAAGAGAGGGTTTTGTGACAATGAGTGCTGAGTGAGCTGCTGTGTTGTGAGGCCAGCCCTGCCCCCATGCATGAAAGAGGACCCTGTGTGCAGAGGGGGTGTGGTGTGTGTCGGGGGGTAGAAGGTGGTGATTGACTTTCTTCCCATTACTCTTGCCCTGTGGACCCCTGAATGTTAGGAGCAGAGTGGCCTGGGAAGCTTCACTGGGGAAGTGGGACTTGGGCATGATGCGGTGGGAGAAGGGAAAGAGGAAGAGGAGTTTCTGAACAGGGAACGTCACATTCAAAGGCATGAAGATGAAAAGTGCCAGCTTACATGTGGGAAGTCTGGCTTTTCATGAGGAAATCAGGAGTAGAAGAGTGAAAACTGAGGTTATAAAAGGAGAAGGAGACCAGCTCATGGACAGTGTGGAAGGCCAGGTCATTAAATGTCACATATTCTCAGCACAGGAGAATCCATTTAGATGGACTGATGTTCACAATATCTGATATTCACACCAGCGGATGAAAGCCTTTGAACTTCCTTCTGTAGACCATGGAGTGACATTGTCAGTTTGTGTGGTTTTGATCACGTCAACTTTGTAAGGAGAAGGCTCTGCTTGCCATGAGGATGGCGAGTCTGGGAGGCTGGATAGGTGGACTTCAGTGAGCAGGCAACAGGATAGAGCAGAGCAAGGATGGCAGGGAAGGTAAAGGAGAGACATTTTTGAGACAATAGAAAGGAAGAAACAGGTAGAGAAAGAAATGAAAAGTGACTGCAAGACTTTGTGCCTGGATTCTGAAGAAGTTGGTGATGCCACTAGATGAAAAAGATGGGTTTTTATTGGAAGATGGAACATTTTGTTCATAGTTTGAAGGCAGAATTGACAGAATTGCTGATAGGCTGAATGTGGGGTGTTAAAGAAAGAAGTTAAAAATGATTCCAAGAGTACAGTCAATAATATAAAAGCCTACGTGACCGGCTGACCAGCTGACCATCCAGTAGCTATGATGCGCACTGACCACCAGGGGGCAGACGCTCAATGCAGGAGTGGAAACCACAGGCATGGAAACATGGAGCAGACTGCTGAATCTCAGAGGAAAGGAGGAAGGGGGGAGGGTGGTTAAGAGATTAACCAAAGATCTTACAGACAGTCCTTGGGTTATGTCGGACTCGATGTACATTGTTTCGTGGTACGTGGTTATGTGGCCATCTCCCATTTATTTATATAAAAAAAGTTCCATCATTTCGACGTATGTACATATGCGCTTTATGTTTTTTATTATTTATTTACCACAAGTAAAGGTCAGGAATTGTTATCTTTCTTTTAAATTTTTTTTAATTGTTTCACTTCATTACTGCTGTGTATGTGCTCCATGTGAGTGATGTGATTATGTAGGTGGGTTTCGACTTATGGCGAAAATCACGTTACTTGGCGCCGTAGGAACGGATCTTCAACATAACCTGAGGAGCTACTCTATATGCATACTGGAGGCCCGGTGCATGAATTTGTGCACCGGTGGGGTCCCTCCACCTGGCCTGTGGGAATTGGGCCAAAACTGGCAGTCTGACATCCCCCAAGGGGTCCCAGATTGCCACAACAGGAGGGTGCAGGCCAGGCTGAGGGACCACACTGGTGCATGAATCCATGCCCCGGGGCTCTAGTCTACACTAATAAAAGAGAAACATGGTAATTAGCGTACGACCGCTACCCTTCCCATTGGCTAATCAGCATATCCTTATGCAAATTAACTGTCAGCCAAGATGGCGGCCCGCAGCCAGGCAGCTGGAAGCGAACATGAGGCTTGCTTGCTCCAGTGACTGCAGACTCCAACGTTCCCCGCCTGCCTTGCCAGCCTCTGAGCTGGCAGTTTGAAACATTCTAACAAATATAGAAGCTAAACAAAACCCCAGAAACCAGCTTTCAGCCGGCTGGGATCTCAGAGCTGGAGTTATACATTGTTTCGATTATAGAACGCAAACAAACCAGCGGAAGCCTCAGAGCTAGAGCCAGAGCTAAAGCTGGCCCAGAATAAAATTTTTAAAAAGAGAAAAAAAAGGAGCAGTTGGGAACTTCAGTCAACAGCCGCCAGCCTGAAAGCAGCCCTCAGCCCTTCACCCAGACTGGCCAGGCACCCCAGTGGAGCCCCCCACCCTGATCCAGGACACCCTTCAGGGCAAACCAGCCGGCCCCCAGGCCTCTATCCTATATAGTAAAAGGGTAATATGCCTCCCAGCACCGGGATCAGCGGAGCCGAGAGGCCTCCTGACACCGGATCA